TGGTCACAAAGCAGGAGAGGGGCTGGGAATTATGTTTTCAAACAAAGCGTTATTCCATTAACATTTATAGACTACTTTTGATTCTCACTGTATTACGGGACAAAGTGCGTCCCTTATTAGCTCAATACGGGACGTGTGCTTTTGTTTCTAAATACGGGACGATTCCGTATTTTAAGGGACGGTTGGCAACCCTAGTAACTAGCGAAACTAGCGAGCTAACTTCCGCTAGCTTCCTGCTAACTTCTAACTCCGTTAAATGTAATAAATTTTGTTTTCATGGATGCCTGGAAGTTAAACTTTATAGTTACACCTGGTAAAGCAGCAATGCTGATAGTTTTATTAAAGATGAAAGAATTTAGACAGTTTTTAACTCAGTGATGCTGCAGTGTTGTTTGACCTGAAGGATACGGAGTTTAGGACCCAGATTACTCCCAGATTTAAGAGCATCTTAGTCCGACAAATATGACAATGACGACGGCCGCTTGCATGTTCTGCAAAAAAAATGTGCTTTGTCGTGTATCTGACGGACAAACACCAAACCAGTTCCACATCACGGAAGTTGCACCATTTTTAGAAACCAATTCTGGTTCATCTGTTTCACTCAACAATCGGCCATGTGCGTATGAAACCAAAGGCACTGCGCATGCGCGTTTTAGTCCCATTCTATCGCGATATTTCATTTTCCTATCGTTGCCTAACATTATACCGGTATTACCGTGAACGGTATAATATGGCCCAGCCCTAATTGGCGTCTGTCTTGTGTCAGTGACCGTTCAAACAGCAGTCGCTTTCTAAAACATCGGATATGTATCGGATTCAGGACCACATATGAAAGTGACCCAGATCGGATTTGAAAATATCGGATTTGTGCCGTTCACACTGTCATACCATGATCGGATATGGGTCGCATAGGGTCAAAAAAATCGGATTTGATGCGCTTTCGCCTGCAGTGTGAACGTAGCCTTAGTGTATGTTTGCAGGTGTTTGTAATGTAAGATTTTCAAATTAGTAAGCAGGCTTTTTGAGAATGTTGCTGAAAAAATAACTAGTTTTGTTATTAAAGCTTTGAGATGATCATTCCTCATAGATTAATCAGTTCACAGAATAACAGAACTCCGTAATCTGCCAAAATTATTTTTGCTAAATCTCAGCGCAGTTTAAAGGCAGTTCATGAGGTACAGACGACCTGTATTTTATTCATTTGTGTCCTGGATCACGATTTTTCATCTGTCCGGACACATATACTCAGATTTTTCTTTCCACAGTACTTTCCACGTGTAAAATCATTTTATCAATACCAAATGCATTACATGGTTATGTGCAGGCACTAAAAACAACTTGGTTGGTGTTAGGAATTAAAAGCTGCAGGTTTTAGTTTAGAAAACGATCACGGTTTGGTCTAAAATTCAACGCTTACTAATTCTTTTGAATCTGTAGCTTATGGTTACCATAGTGACATGTTTGCCACTTTGTCTGGGCATGTTGCGTGACACATGCTCAAAGTATGCTCCATACTGAAAATACGTTACTAACAACTGAACTTTTTCACAACTGTTTTCTGTTTCATTTTGAGACTGTGCTGCACAAGCTGTTGTGAAATCACATGTTAACACAAGTTAGTAAAGAGACTCCAGAGGAGGGGAAAAGTTACAAACTGAAGTTCAGTGGAAAATGACAAAAATCCCACACTGTGGGCTTTGAAAGTGACTTAAGGTGTTTATGTGTTTGTGTTACAGGGAGGTGGATGAGAATCCAGACTATGACAACTTGGACATTGTCAACAGAGATGCAGAGGATAAATATTTTGATGACGATGATGACGAAGAAGAGGAAGAGGAAGAAGAAAATATGACAGAATAGTACCCGTGTTATTAATAAATGAATGAACTGTAAATATAAATGTACAAAAAGAGTTTCCATTCTATTTTTTAGTTTGACATCTGAACACAAACAAAAGATGTAATAAACATGTTTTTGGGTCTTTTGAAAATTTGTATAAATATGATTTTCTTGTTCAAAACTCAACAGAAACAAACAAGGCATTTTGCTGTGTTACTAATTATGACATCATTTCAGCATTAAATTTGTCTCAAAGCCCCACACGGGAGGTGATCTGTGCGTATCAGGTGATTTGTCCACATGGATTTTAGGCTTTGTGAGTGAGCGAGAGAGCGATGGTACATGTAGTTTTAGACATTTGCACGTGTAGTCGTGAAGCTGAACCTAATAAATTGTGCGTAAATAATCAGTATTTATTTAGGTTTAGATGTACGCGTGTCAGATTGCTTTGTATTGTGTGGATTGAAACGTGAGTGAGTCTTCAAAAGTTACAAATCATCGTACACATTTAAAAATCTGGACTGAAAATGAGTGACAAAGCAGCCAATGATGGCTGGAGAACGTTTGCTGAAGGTCACTTCAAAAAATTCAAGGAATGTATTCTTCTAATTACAATGCTGTTCCCTACAATGATTATTACAGGTTGGGCAAAGTCCAAAGAAAACAGTTTGATAACATCTGCACAATTTACCGATAAAAAGCATCAATGTTGTTTATTCAGAATATCAAGAAGAAAATATCAGCTGTATGTGGAATTATTAAAACAAAGTAAAACACGGTGATCAGCAGTGTGAAAGGAAAACTGAGACAAAGTACAGTTTTATGATTTTGTTGCTTTTCTCAAAAGTAACAATTAACCGAAGAAAAGTAACGCATGTCATTTGTGGACATACTGCAGCAATTTTTCAAATTCAGCTTTACAGAGGCATTAATCTTCATTTTTTAAGTTCTTTTATTATCAAAGTGTAACACTCTTCTTGTAATTTTAAGACCTTTAGTTGCATTTTTAGTTTCTCCCTCTTCAGTTGATCAAGATCCGTTGTATTCAAACCAGAGTTGACTGAGGGCCCAGGCGACAGAGCCTCTGACATGTGAGAGAAATTAATGCCGACAGAGGTTTGACTTGCTGGAGATGAGCTGTGGAAAAAAGTTAACTTTTAAGATTGTTTGACTAAATTAAAAATCTTTACCTAAATGATAGGACAGCTACATCTTACTTCCTTTCTGGCCTCGTGGATTGTAATGCAGCTACATTGTGGCCAGAGCAGTGGACATCTTTATGTTCACACTCATCTGACGCAGCCAGAGGTTCACAGGAAGGACCTGTACATTTAGAAAATATATTGGGGAAAAAAAGACCAGAAAAGATTAAAAATAATAATAAAAAATAAAATAAATACATGAATTTTTTTCTCTCAAAAAAAGCTGAAAAAAATCATGCTAGTGATTTCAGTTTTTGAACAACTCACTCATTTCCTCTTCTGTTTTTTCCTCCACATTCTGCTGTTTGATTGGTGTGTTTCTTTCCACGTCTCTGGTTTTTACAGTGACTTCAGATTTTGGTATGTTAGGAGGATCGTCTCCTTCTTTCTCATTCCCACAGTTTGCTGACTGTGCATCTCCTCTCTCTGCTGAGCCTTCTGTACAAAAGACAAAATGTTACCAAAAAGTGAAATTAATACACACATAAATAAAGTATTTACTATTTTCCATTAGGAGAATTGTGGGAAATATCACCTTTAATAACACACTTGTTAGTGTGGTTAGAGGCAACAGCAGGTACAGCTTCAGATTCCATTCCTCCCGTTTCCATTTCATCTTCCTCTTCTTCATTCCCAGCATCTTCTGAGTTTACAACCTCGTTTTCATGTCCAGACCCGACCTTCTCTTCAGCTCTCTGCTCTGTTTTCACTGCCAGCTGCCCACTGCTTAGAAACTGGTCCTTATCTTCAACAATATCTCCCCCAGCTTCTTCTGCAGGCTGTATTTTTGCTTCTTGATAGGGATAACAATGCATTAGATTTATGCATGTACACTTTATAATTATTTGTAATTACTATTAGTAGAATCAAATAATTTCTCAAAATAGTTTTCAAGTTAGCAGCACTCAAACTGTGTGGTCTTCTGCTGTTACAGTTCATCTGTTTCACTGTTTGGTGTTCAGAGATGCTCTTGTGCATACCCTGATTGCAATTAGTCATTATTTGAGTTACTGTTACTGTCTTTCTATCAGCACAAAGCAATCTGGTCATTCTTTGACCTCATTTTACACCAGAGAACTGCTGCTCACTTGATATTTTCTCTTTTTAGGACCATTCCCTGTAAACTCGACAGATGATTGTTTGGGAAAACCTGAGTAGGAGATTCTGAAATATTCAGACTGGTGTAACTGGCACCAACAGCCATGCCATGTTCAAAGTCACTTCCAGTTGTGGTCAGAAGTTTACAGGCACTCATTATGGCCATGAATGTCATGGTAATTATGTGCTTTGAATGATGGATTGTAGTTTTTCCCGCTTGAAACGATTGTACATCAAACATTTTCCATGACTTTAAATAACAAGAATTGTTAGTGTGATTTTTTTTGCACTTTCTACATAAGATCTGTGACTCTTAGGTAATTTGACTTCTTTGTATTTAGCACTTTTTTTACTCAACAAATACAACATACCTCATTTATGCAAGCACTTTGCTCTATGCTTTTTCTATCTAAGCGCTTTCTTTAAAACATTGAGCAACTTGGGGTTCAGTATCTTGATCGGTATGCAGACTGGAGCAGCAAGAGACTGAACTACAAACTTCAGATGAGGAGATGAACTGCTCAATCTCATGAGCCACTCATTATTGGTAGCGCAGAATTGGTAGAGCTCATTTAAATGGGTTGGTTTCTTGGCTTGGACTTGGTTTCAAAAGCTTAATTTTGGCCTTATGCTCAGTTTGAAATTCAGCAGATGGTATTGACCTTGTCTGCATTCTTAAATGCATGTTGAGCTTCTCCCATGTCTCCCAGTCTCCTGTGACTGGCTGATTATATCTTTACAACAACGAACACTGGAATAGGTATACTGAATTAAGTGACTCATCGGTGTACTTTGGAGAGCAAAACTATTCATTTGAAACGACACCTGATGTCTTTTAATCGCAAAGACATCTACAACTATTCAAAGAGCAGACAGTTTAGCTGTGTGCCTATAACATTTGTAAATCCTAACACTATGCAGTAAACCAGTCTTATGAAGGATTTCACACACTGCTATTAGAATGTTATTAGAACAATTATCATTTGAGAACTGAGCCAAAACAATTGTATTCCCTAACTCATCTAACACAATCAGAGGTTAAAAGTAAGACTTGTAAACTTAGTAGAAATGTCTTCTACAAAAACAGAAAAAAAGAAAGCCAAAACACATGCAACTCACTCAGTAGTCCTTTTGGCACAGTTTGTGTTGCCACATCTCTGGTATTTCCATTAACTTCAGATCTCAACATGTCAAGAGGATCGTCTCTGTTTTGTTCTTTCTCATTCCCACAGTGCACTAAATGCCCGTCTTCTCTGTCGTCCATCCTTGCATCTTTGCAAAAGTCAACATGTCAATTAATCAAATATATGAAAAAAATGCACAGTGGCTATTAAATATTTATTTGATGTTAAACTGTTTTAATACCAGAGTTTAAGACACTGGATTCAGTTTTATTCACCATCCCCAAAGATGTGGAAGCTTCCTGTTCTTTTCTTTCACTGCTTTGTGTTAACTGGTCTTCACTGCCTTCCCCATCACTCCCGTTAATGGATAGGTCATATTTGTTTGAGGGAGTAATCAGTGTCGCTGCTGCAGTGGTTGTGTTAACTTTTGCTGAGCTGCTGCACTCTCCTGGATGGTCCATCCCCTCGGGGTGATAAGCACTTGTTCCCTGAGGCAAAATTAAACATTTAAATTAGATTTACATTTACAAGAACAGATAGTCATTTTTAAATTATTTGTCCTAAATCAGTGACATGGCAGAAACTGACAAATCCCCTCTGAAATAATGGAAAACTTACATTTGCTGTTTTTAATGTTCCTTTTAGTTGCTGCTTGTATGGTCTTGTATGATTGGGAAAGGGTGTGAAATACTGAAAACTAAAATTTTGAGTGGTAAAGAGCAGCACTGGTCCCAACTTATACAGTATATTACTCTTCTGTTTTAAAGAAATCAAAAACTTTTTTAAAAGCATCCGTTTGTCAAAGGGATTATTTTTCAGCATGACAATGATCCCAAACACACTGCCAGGGCAGTAAAAGCATGCCTGAATAGAAATGCACACAAAAACACATTATTGAAGCAGTACATCTTGAGAGAACTGAACAAAAAGCAGCCATCATCCAAAGAAGAGCTTTGAATGTCCTTCAAGAAACCTGGAGAACTATTGCTGAAGACGACTTAAAGAAATGACAAGAAAGCTGCCTAAGAGTTTGAATTGTGTTGAAGGATAAAGGGGGCCGTACCAAATCTTTTATACTGTATATTGATGTATTTCTTTGCACGTTTCAATAAATTGATGCCACCTTTTACCATTTTTTCAAACAAAATATAAAGAAATGAGGGCTTGTTCAAAACTTTCGTATAGTACTATATATTTTATATAATTTTTCCCCCAAGTTTCAGCATTTAATACATTATTTTTGTATGGGTGTATTTTTAATATGGAGGTTCACTGATAGGCAAAAAGGAAATTAAACTTTGATGGAATAGTTACTGGTTAGAGTAACCAGTGATTTTTAATATTGTGTTTTTTACATTAAAATTCCAACCCGAAGATATTGCCTAAATAAAAAATAAGAGTAATCTTATGTTATTAAATTTCACATGAGGACCAAAAATACCAGACAGTAAAGTGTATTAAAATTTAAAAGAAAACTATATATATATATATATAACAAACACCCAGCACGCCCCTGCGGGCGGTTTATCCTTCAAGCTCGGGTCCTCTACCAGAGGCCTGGGAGCTTGAGGGTCCTGCGCAGTATCTTAGCTGT